TGCCTGAAGAAAGCGTAGAAAAGATGGAGTAACGTTTTCTGTTTTGTATCATGCAAATGTTTTTCTTTTGTATCATGCAGATGTCTTTTTTGTGTCATTCAGATGTCTTTTTTGTGTCATTTAGATGTTTTTATTATGCAGATGTTTTTCAACACGAGCAAGTTCCTCTAAACCAGAAACTAAATGAGGACTATTACATCCGAAATTATTCATTGGTTGACTTATGTAGAAATAAGATAATGACCATTGTTGTAGTCAAGTGTTGACTGACAGCTCTAGTGTGGAAATGTGTCTAACTCTTCTTCATAATTTATCGTATCATCCAGGTAAATAATAGACTTGGTTCCCTGCAATTTTGTTTCTCAAAGCAGCCAACTGGAAGGGAGATTTGAGGTTCCATGAACAATGGTAAGGAAAACTGATAATAATCTCGAAAGAGGAATTTGAAAACGGTTTTTGATAAATAGAAGGAAAGTTGAGATAAATAGAAAAGTTTCTAAGAATAGTACTTTGAGGAGAGTAATGAGGAGTTGCTTTAGGTAGGTTTCTTTTTTCATTTATGTTAAATAGGTGGATAATTTACGAGTAGACTTCATACACACATCATAAAAAAGACTTCAGCAATTTGAAGCACAATGAACAGAAGACAGAAAATCACGAAAACTGAGATTTTGAGGTTTTAGTTTTATTAAATTTATCTGCTTTCAAAACAATCAGCTTATGGTGATAGCAACCGAAAACTGTCGAAATTATTTTTTACTACATCACATCCATCGTGTTGGATTAGGGTTATGTTGGCAGTTTACAGGCACACGGAGCTTCATGGATTTGCCAGCAAGTTCTTCACACCTCTCATTCATGATATAAGTTTGTGTCATACAATGCTAGGTTGAAAAAACAATTTCAATAGAACTTGAGAATCTGCTGTAGATCAAAAGAATGTTATGTTTTGTACATTAAATTGCATTCATGTACGTATTTATACACAAATGCACATAGGTATATATACAGGGTGTCCCTAAAGTTCGTGTGCACTTTAAAAAATTATAACTTTATTTGTATTTGCGATATAAATAATTTGTAAACGGTTTAGAAAGAAGTAAATCTATATATTTTTAAGGTTTTATTGAAATTTTATTTAAGTTTCCACATGGCCACCATCATTAGCAATAGAAAGAGTAATACGATTTTGCAGTGAACGGAAAACATTTGCCAACTGATTTACAGTAATGCCTAAAATGGCATTAGTTATTTTAGCTAAACTTAAAACGAGGTACATTAAACTTTATAAGATTTTTTACAGATTATTTCTATCGCAAATACAAATAAAGTTATAAATTTTTAAAAGTGCACACAAACTTTATGGACACCCAGTGTATATATCTATATATATATATATATATATATATATATATATATATATATATATATTAATTATATCTCTATAAAAGGCAGGATGTGTGTGTAACGAAGGCACGGCCGCAATTTTCAACGGATTTGCACCAAAATATATATGTACATGCTCCAAGTTAGCGGAAAGCCAAGACTGCATTTCTCAGCTCCCATCGATAGTGGAAATAATCGATTTTGTCATGCTTCTACGGCAGTTTTCATGTAGTTTGCGGCCATTTTCTACTGGGCAGCGTGAGAGCCAATAGCTGACTGACACGAATGTTAACTAGCATTCTAGCATGCAAAAAAAAATTGGCTCATTCGCTTGCTTAAACTCAACGTTGATTCTGATTCCGCAGAACTGGGTTGGGTGTGAAAAAGTATTTGTTGTTAACATTCTTTTTTCATTCGTTTTTTTCCAGTTATGAGTCCTTTTCTAAAGCTGATCGTTTTGTGTTCATTTTAGTTCTTTTTTCGTAACAGATTTAATGTTTAGTATAGAGCTTAGAAAAAATTCGCAGTGTGAGATAGGCAAGAAGTAAGACATGTAGCAACATCAGCACGGCAAAGGGCACTCCTTTAAAGGCAAGGAAGGGCAAAAATATTTTAAGTCAAGTGATAGCGATTGCTGTATGTGTCGTACGATTTTTGAATCAAGCACGGGCAACGCCGGGCCATGCTGCCAGTATATATATATATATATATATATATATATATATATATATATATATATATATGTATGTATGTATTGAGCAGGTAGAAAATTTGTACTTTTTCTTTTCTCATTTTTTCTGGCTTATCGATCGAGACGCATCGTATACCCAAGCGATAAGACCTGCAAATTCCACAGGAAAACCTATGATAACTTCTGCAAACATAATATTGTAAATATTTCCATAAAATTACATCGGGCATCTTGTCCCATCTCTACAACACATTAGCCAACGCATAACTATGTTCTTGTCCATTTGGTCGATGTAATCGTTCAAAAATCGTCGATGAAAGTCAAAGCTTGCAGTTTAGTTTTAATAGATAGTTTCAGTTTCACATCTCTGCTTCATACGCACTGGTATTTTGAGTCACTAAAAAGTGATTATTACTGCATCTATCAATTATTATTCGCAACAAAATAACCAAAGATTATGGATTATTCACGGGAAGATTCAGCCACCAACCACACAGACACGATATATCGACAGAAATGCACGAAATTATTTGAATAACTTTTGTGGTGTCCTCCCTCTAAAGAGTCTATGTTGGACTCTTCCGCCTAATATAAGATGAAAGAAGGCCTTGGGGGAATAGCCGAATAGATTAAACGCTGGGTCAACTGGCACACACACTAGTCGTGTAATACTCTTCTGTTGTACTTACTGTTTAATATACGATATATCTGCAACACTTGTTTCCTTATTTCGTAAACATTTACATGGTCACAACAATAACTCAAATTGGGACACAGTTTATCTACAATCTTCGATCACAAAATACAATAAAGATTTAAACACACAAATCTTGTCGATTCTTTTTAATCAATCTTGATTGTGTATAATATATATATATATATATATATATATATATATATATATATATATATATATATATATATATATATATATATAAAGTTTAATGGTCAGAGTTGAATCAGACCAGGAAACAGTAGTATTAAAAAGTTCCCAATACATGCGTAAAAAAATAAAAGCAAAAATAACATGTAGAGCTTTTAACTTTAGAACTCAGGAGACCAGTTGAATCAGCTACCTTGGTTTCAACCTTACGGTATCCTCAGGCGATATTTTATCAATATCTGTCTTTGTTTATTTATTTGAAAAAAAAAAAACGATATAGAGTACATTAGTTTTTAAAAACAAATAAAGTGTTCAGAGGTCATTTGACAAAAATCACCTGAGGATACCATATGTTTGAAACCAAGGTAGCTCTACTGATCTTTAAAGTATATATATATATATATATATATATATATATATATATATATATGGGGCGGGGATAAGGTATATTTATGTAGAAAGTATTCATCCAAACAAGTTTCATCAAAGAGATAATGTCGATCTAATTTTTGGATAAAGTGTTGTTACTGCGCTCGAAGTTGCAGATAAATTGTCCGAAGTTCATTTTTTTGTTATTTTTGTTCAAGTACTTTCGTCTTTTGTATTTGGTATCGAGAACCTGTATAATGTCTGTGTGGTAGTTAGAATTCCTTTGTCTACATCCAGGTATTCTTTGGGAAGTTGAACGTTTTCGACGGTCAATCATGAACGTCAGGTGTAACGCCGAATGGGAACAAGGCTGCACAAAAAGAATGCGATTTATTTGTTTATTCATTTAATTTATTATTATTATTATTATTATTATTATTATTATTATTATTATTATTTCCTTTGATTTCTGGCGTGTACACATTTCTTTCCGGGTCCCGCCCAGAGACCTAAGGTTAGAAATGGCATCATGACACTTTCCACTGACAAAGAAAAAAATTTATATAGATAAAGCCCTTCGTATAGTGTGGGCTGTACTTGTCAGAGCAATTTTTTGTATCTCTTTGAGGCATGGACTTCCAGGAATCCCTTCAATTAGTCTACTGGAATCTTTTCCAACCAATCTTAGGACTCCAACTGCAACAGGGATTGTTGATGTTCCCATGTTACACATTTTTGAGATTTCTATTTCAAGGTCCTTGTATTTTGACAGCTTTCTGTACATCTTCAAAGATACATTGCAGTCTGCAGGGACTGCCATATGAATAAGGAGGCACTTTTTATTATTATTATTATTATTATTATTATTATTATTATTATTATTCTGATAATATAAGTACGCACATTATATCATATGCACTTTAAGATATCTTCTTCATTGGGTTCTGTAGAATATTTTGGTGTTATGAACTAGTATTTGTCTTACGTTGATTGTTGTACTATGGCCGTTCATGATGTGCTGGTCGATGTGTGCACGGACTGCACAATGTTTCGACAGGTGACAGGTCAATCTGTGAGAGAGTGTAGTGAATATGTGCCCAACATTTTGTGCAGCCTCATTTCCAATAGCCGAAAACACCACGGTAGACCATTTCAAACGTCCTGCTTCCCACAGAATATTAGGGATTCTAACTACCACACAGACACCATATAAGCTCTTGATAATGACCGCGAAAGTCTAAAGTACTTGAACAAAAATAACAAAATATAAACTACGCACAATTTATCTAAATCATTGTGCCTAATACCTTTCGGTAAACAAGAAAATACATTAAAAAATATTAAATTGACAGACCTTGTTGTTTCTTTTTAATCAACTTTATATATATATATATATATATATATATATATGTGTGTGTGTGTGTGTGTGTGTGTGTAAGTATGTCCTCGGGGAGAGAGCGGCGTTCTCTGCACCAAATTTACGAGATCAAAAGTGAAAACACGAGCGGTCTGTTGAGTTGTTTGCTTAGGGCTTCAACATGACTTTTATACATGCTCCATAGCATTCATAAACAGATTTGCTAGAATTACAAGACAATCAGCGGAACATCTTTCTTATCACTTCAAGATAAGACCGACTGAGAGTGCGAAAAAGTTGGTTCTAAAACAGGATCAGAGCCAAGCAGTAGAGAGGGAAGACCATGTCTGCGCTCGGGGGTTCAGTTGGGGATTAGTAGATGGGCCGGGGCGGTGATCTACGGGCAGGAAATGCTAGAAAATAGATTCTTGATGGCTTTAACAGATTCTTTTCACTTTTTCTTGTAGATTTTTTTTCCTTTCAGTTAAATATGAAAAGAGCTTATAAGTCAAGGGAAAAGAGAAAGTTGAAATAAGAGAGAAAGACTAAAAAATCAGACACGTTAAGAAGCAATTTCAGGGAAAGGAGGAAAGAAAACGGGGATAAAATAATAAATTATCTCTCTCTCTCTCTCTCTCTCTCTATATATATATATATATATATATATATATATATATATAGATAGATAGATAGATAGATAGATAGATAAAAGAACAGACTGTGGTAGGTATATAGATATGAAAAGACTAAGATAGATGTGAAAAGACTGACATAGATAGATAGATAGATAGATAAATAGATAGATAGATAGATTAAAAGATTGAGATAGATAAGAAAAGACTGAAATGGACATAAAAAGACTGAGATAGATAATGAAAAGTCTAATATATATATATATATAGATAGATAGATAGATATATGAAAAGATTGAGATAGATATGAAAAGACTGAAATGGATATAAAAAGACTGAGATAGATAATGAAAAGTCTAATATATAAAGATAGATAGATAGATAGATAGATAGATAGATAGATAGATAGATAGAAAATTAAAAAAATAAGAGAACAGATTGAGATATGATAGGACGAGACTCATAAAGGGAAAGGTAAAAGGAGAATTGTAAAAAAAAAGAAGGGGTTGAAAGAAAATAAATGAATAAAAATAGGAAAGATTCGAGGTCGAGAGCGGAAGAAACAAAGAAATCAAAAAGTTGTAAAAAAAAAAGAAATGAAGAAAATGGTATAAATGAGAAAGAAAGAAAACGAGTGAAAGAAATGAATGAAAAAAAATAAAAATGTAAAATAATCAAAATGAGTCGTTGAAAAAGAAATAAAGTGAATGAGAAGAGTTGGCAAAGGAAGAGAAAAGGAGAAAAGGAAGTGATGGAGTAGGAGGAGAAAGAAGAAGAAAAAGAAACAGAAGCAGCATCAGCGGCAAATAACGAAAGAAAAAAAAAAGAGAAAAATGATAATTTCGAGTTCGTCTTGTCAGTTGAGAATTCAGAAGAGAAAAAGAAACAAGATAAAGTAAATTAAGATGATAGGGAAAATAGAGTGATGTAGTAAAACGAAGAAGAAGAAGAAGAAGAAGAAGAAGAGAATAACGAAAGGAAAAAAGAGGAAAATGAAAGTTTCGAGTTTGTCTTGTCGGTTGAGGATTCTCAGATTAAATATGGCGGATAACGAAGGCAGTAAAAAAGTTTTTGTCGACTAGAAACCAGACACCTAAGTTGTCAGTAGCATATTAACGGCCGTATGTAATCAGCAGAGATAGAAGTAAGAAGTAGAAGAGTAGGTGGTGTGAAGAGAACATTGTTTTTGATTTGTTGAGATTTTATCTGCTTTTGAATGTTTCATCTACACAATTATTGCAGTGTGATAGGAGATAAACGCTAAAAAGTCTTTCCACGCGATTTCAATCTCTCGCTCACACCCTCTACCTCCTAAAAATCTTCTCTCACACGGAGAGCCCTTTACTTACAATGGGTTTACATTCAAGTGGCCCCATCGTAAAGCGAAAGATAGGCAACTCAAAAATAACCTTAATTTAATATAGGCTACACTTAATACCCATATAGTCTTGTTAATATTAAATCCGCTGGACTTAAAAAAAATAGGAAATGTTAAAAACAGAACAAAATAAAATACTGATTGAAGTTAAATAGTGAAAGATGGTAATGGGCGCGATCGCTAGTGACGTTCACTAGATGATGCTATCTTATCCTGAAACAGGTAGACAGTTTCTACAGCATTGTGCGGCAGAAAAATAATCACACATATATATATATATATATATATATATATATATATATATATATATATATATATATATATATATATTTATGAAGCCACGATAAAATCACCAAATAATGAAGAAGAAATATACATAGAGTAACTGAAAGACCCTGAAACAAAAAAATTATGCACACAAAACATCTTTCACAAATAGTAAATATGCGAGCAGCACAATGCTTTCTAAGTATACCTGGGGAAATTAAAAACAAAACGCGCGTCATACTAAAAATATCTTGGAAAATAATGAAAAGATCATCAGCCTACGACAACCAATTCAAAAATGGCAAACTTAGCTCGAAGGAAAAAATAGCTATCATTACCTTCCCAGACGAAAATAAATTATTAAATAAAAGATCCGAGCTCATCTCAAAATGCAGACGTGAAAACAAATTTTTACTACGTTACTTAAAAATCGAAAACTGAAAAAAATAAAATAAATAAACAAAATGACAATAAAATAAGCAAAATAAATTACCCCAAACAAATTACCAAATCACACCCGTTAGAACAGACGAAATAGAATAAATATATAAAAAATCAAAAAAAAAAAATCAATGAACCCAAATAAATAAAGTAAATAATAAACAAATTGACAAACCATTATTACCAAAATATTAGTAGTTAATATTATTAAGAGTTGGCTTTTTCTTTTTTATTATTAAAGCTTCCATTATTTTTAGTCTTTTTTTGCAGGTGGATGCAGTTAATATATTTGTGGTTTCTACTAGTATGTTTCTAATGGAGTCTGTTAAATTTAACAATATTAACTACGAAAAAAGCCACAATGTGCTAACCGTATTCGGAAATTAAAAACATCCCCACAACACACTAAGACATACACAGAACGCACACACTCAATTAAGCTGAAAAATCGAACCATCCTTGATAATGGCTAAAGGTATAGCCGAAAGCACTCGGAAATATAAAACATTTGGACAGTTCTTACACACCCTTTGTCCAGAAAAGAAGGCTCTTGTTCGAACACAAGAAAAATTAAATAAAAAGCTTAACCGTAGTACCTTGTCTGTCGTTTTTAATGAAACATGCATAAAGGAAAGATTGCTGCCTAAATATACAACTATATATATATATATATATATATATATATATATATATATATATATATATATATACATGAATTATTCATACAAAACTAATGCAAGGTTAATGATTTAAATGGCAAGACATCCATCTTGCAAACGATTCAAATAGTACACAAAACCTCTAAATCCGTTATGCATGAGTTGATCCTTGTTTATATAAATTTCTGCCGTATTAGTTGTTATTTTTACTACAAGCTTTCGTCTGTTCCTACAGACATCGTCAGGTATATAATATACATTACTGTAATTATTGAACAATATAGTTCATGCCACTTTGACAGTAAAAAATTTAACAGTAAAAACATTTGTTCATTACCATATTTGGTATAGACGCAGACATTTTAAAAAATTCAAAATCAAACTCAGCGTTGCTTTGGCGCGTTCAAAAACCAATAACTCATTTTTTAATAGCATTTCGGATACAATACACATATATTTTCGATGTCCTCTTATTACTAAGAGAAAAACCAAGAACAACATCTATTATATACCTGACGATGTCTGTAGGAACAGACGAAAGCTTGTAGTAAAAATAACAACTAATACGGCAGAAATTTATATAAACAAGGATCAACTCATGCATAACGGATTTAGAGGTTTTTGTGTACTATTTGAATCGTTTGCAAGATGGATGTCTTGCCATTTAAATCATTAACCTTTGCATTAGTTTTTGTATGAATAATTCATGTATTTGTAAATTGATTGCACGTTTATTGTAATATATATATATATATATATATATATATATATATATATATATATATAGATAGATAGATAGATAGATAGATAGATAATATTAGTGGAAAATATACATACGTATGCAAAATATATAAATACCCATACATGTATATTTTCAGAAAAAAATTTCAAGAGGAAGAATCCAGGTAGAACTCAATGTCTAGGACAGAGTAAGGATATAATAAAAAGGCTTAAACACTAATATTCCATGGTCATAATTTATTCCATTGGAATCGTAAATACGATCCAATTCATCAGACCTACAAATTCAAAATGAAAACAGAAAAAACCACTCCGGAAGTGAAAACAGAATTTAGAGAAAGTGTAAATATGAGGAGGGGGGAGATTGAACCTTAACAGAGAGAATTTTAGGAGAGGTGGTGGGGAGGGTTTTAGATAAGAGAAGAGAATGAATGTCGACGGATGTCTAATGCATAAAGATACATTTCGTGGTGACATACACACACCATCGACAATTTAATGCAAGAATAATAGGGAGGGGAAGGGAAAGAGGAGGTAGGGGAGAGATGGGACGAAGGAAAGTAAAATTGCGTTTATTTAAAGGGCCGCTTTGTAATTGAGAAAATTTGACAAATTTAATATCGACTACAGGTTACAAATCAAATATAAATATATGAAGATAAATATAACGATTGTCTAATCCAGCAAGGACCTATATTTCTATGTTCAAAGACACATGTAAATACACACAATAACATATACATGTATATACATCCACGTAGGTGTGTACCCACATACACACATACATACGTGTACACACATATAAAAAATATAAAAATATAAAAAAAATATATAATCACATATTCACACATACACATATTCATCAATATCCATATACACACACTTTTCACATACACGCACACCCACATACACATACATACACACATACATACATCTATATATATATATATATATATATATATACACATATACACACATACTAATACATACACACACATACACATATATATACATATATATATACACATACACACACATTTACACACACATACATGTATCATATGCACACATACACACACTTATACATATACACTTACATACATAAACACCTCCATACGTACATATATACACACTTACATACATACACATACACACATATACACATATATCCACATATACACATACATACATATACATTCATATATACACATACATACATATACATACATATATACACATACATACATATACACATACATACACATGCACATAAATACACATATAGATACATATATATACATATATATAAAGTTAAAATCTAAATAAGTAACGATTCAAACATTTGCGCATGTAAAAAAAAATTATATATATATATATCTATCTATCTATATATATATATATATATATATATATATATATATATATATATATATATATATATAAATACATAGCGCATTACATAAACGTGCACAATGATACATATTTTCAACAAGCAAAAATACTTTGCTGTATTTCAAAACAAATTTATATTGGTTTGACTGATTTTTTTAAATCGCTAAAAATACTGATTTTCTTCCATATTTGCAAATTATTCAACACAACGTAATTCTCTTTATTAAAAATTTCTCGAAAATAAAATATGCAGATTCAGAGCAGATTTTCTGTAACGGAGATGGGGACATATTTTACAAAAAAAAAAATTGATGAATTAAGTTCTCCAAGGATTTGTGTTTATAAAAATATAAGTATTCAGCCCTACAAAAGTGAATTTCACAAAATTTAATAAAATTAGATAAATGGGGTGGTAACAGATGTAATGTAAAATAAAATATTTTACCAAGATTTTCTAAAACCCCCCCCCAAAAAAAAACAAAACAAACGTTTCTAAAATAATTTCATTCATTTGTGAATAAATCCTCAAAATTTCCTTATAGTCCGACAATTTGACAATTTTCTGACGATAAAATTTTGTTTTTATTAAGTTTGGGGCATTTTCCATCATTCTCATTTTATAGCGAATCTTTGGAGGTATCTATATGTAGTTTTTGGTGCCATCAACCAAACATAAATGAAACTTTCTGGTGAATTAATCAGTGAATATGAAACATAAACAGAAAACAAAATTATGGCTAGCTTAACTATCAAATCATTATAACCGTTACAAAATGACTCAATATATTGAGAAACAACCTTAAAAAAAGCCAAAGAAAAGCTTCCTCTCCCTGTTCATAAAATTATAAAACTATGTAAACTAATCACTAACCACTGTTTCTTCTCTTTGAATAGAAATTCTTATGAGCATCAAATGGCTATTACCTATCACCTAATAGTTGTGTCCTTTTTTGTCTTTTCCTAGAAGTTTTTTGAGTCCAGCCCATATAAACACGTCATACCTAAAAACTCCACAAACCTAAGATACATAGATGATGAATTCGAATTCTGCTTTCCGATTCCTTAATCCGAGACGCTATCCATTACTCCACCGTGCCTCCTACACACACACACACACACACACACACACACATTCTCTCTCTCTCTCACACACACACACACACACACACACACACACACACACATACATATATATATATATATATATATATATATATATATATATATAGAGAGAGAGAGAGAGAGAGTGTGAGAGAGAGTGAGTGAGAGTGAGAGTCATTACTGTATCATTTTCGGTTTGGTGGGAGTAAGGGAGTGCAATAATTTTTTATATTGTCCATTGTCCCAAGCGCTTTCATCCACCTTGCTAGCCATTTTCAAAGGGTTTTGTTTTAAGGTGTTGTTAATTTCTTTTCCTGTTTAAGGTGTATTTTTTGTGTTGTTTTGAATATCAGTAAGAACGTTTATTCCGAGCTTTCCGTATTGATCGCGACTGGAATTCTAGTGAGCGTCTTTCAATTGTTTTTTAAACTTTCAACAAACCATTTCCGATGTTGAATAAGGTGATATTTATACTGGGAGCAAGATGCTTTATATACAAGGCCTCTTTCACAGCCATATGTTTTCGGTAATGTGATTTACATAAAATGTTAGTGTTCTCGACCAGAACTTTCCTTAAGGGTTCTTGTAAATTGTGGGTGCCTAAGTTCTGTTTTTTATAACACTGTCATCAGATAAGTGGCACGTGGGGTATATAGTCAAGGAGGTAGTGGTATGTCTGTTGTAATTAATTGATTTATAACAAGAATCGCAGACATGTACAGGGGTAGTGAAATTGTTACACATGTTGGTCATCGTTAGTTTAGATGTGATGGGGTTATTTTGATTAGTGACAACAACGCTTCTGGTTTTCCTATTCTTGTAATGTAAGTTTTACATGTCTTCGGGAATTACGGCAGAAATATTGTCTTTACTGATTCTTCGTATAGCGAATTTCTCTTGCTTATAATTATGCTGCATCTGGTTGCAGTAAAATATGTTGATGTTTTGTTGTGTGGTATTTTTTTACAGGAGTCGTTTATTTATATTTTTTTTTGTTTTTTGTAAGAATAATTTTATTTGTTTACCGATTAAATTTATTGTTGTGAAATTTATTGTTGACTAATATATATATATATATATATATATATATATATTTATATATATATGTTTTAGTTCACTCATAAATATTCTCTTGGAAGAGGAATTTAGGTGTACTCTACTTAGAAAGATTTTTTATCATTGCTATTTTATGTTTCCTGACATTGGCTATCACAGTTCAGAAGACAAGAGTTCGTACTGGTAGTTTTTTTTATATATACGGATAGATGGTAAATACTTTGGAGTTTAGTTCTATATCAACATCAAGGAATGGGATTTTGTTATTAAACATGAGTTCCTATGTAAATTTTAGTGTGGAGTCTTTTTCCAAAGTTGATTTTAGATTTATAATTTCGTCCTTATTTTTTTATCAAAACAAAAATGTCGTCAACTAAGCTTGGGTAGATTTTGTGGTTTATCAGTTGTTTCAAAATTGCTTAGTTTTCAATATGCGAAATGTAAAAGTTAAAGAATGGAGGACATAATGATTTTCTCATAATGACGACGTGAATTTGGACGTAGTTTTTCCATTATGGTCTTAGAATGGGGATTTCGTGTTAAAGGCGAGAAGGAGTTTCCAAAGTGTTGCTTGTCCAATTTTGAAGGGAGGATTGATTGACAGGTGTATATAGATGCAGTAACTAATTATGTTTCTTCATCTTGGACGTTGGTAAAAAAATTTCCACGTCGAGCGAAGCTAGGGTCTCTGTCTGTGGGATTTGTTGCTCTTTAGATAAAGGAATTCATTTGTGGCTGTAGTTGTTGAGTGTGTATGGAAAATTATGTCATTTAGGATTCTTGATATTGTGGTATACTGGGGTAGATATTTGGAATATAATAGATCGGAAAGGAAGAGCTAATTTTTAGGTTTTTACATTACTCTACAGATATCCAGGTTGGTAATAACTGTATTGATTTTTAGGCTTCCGATCTCAGCGTTGTTCGCTGTAATCAGCTTGTTTACATACTTTTTTTTTTAGTGATTCTGTGGAATTTTTAGTTAATTTTCTGGATTTTGTTGTGTCATCTAGAATAGATTGTAATTTATGGTTGTAAACATATCAGTTAAGAAATACATAATTGTTGGCTTCTTCAGGGCGTCTGATGATGGGCTGTCAGGTAACTCTTTTGCAGCTGATTTGAGTTTCTTCGTGAGAATATTATTGTGTTTGCTGTGTGGAGAACGTTTTTTTGAAACCTTCCACTTTTAGAAGGTCTTTCAGATTTGGGTGCACCTTAATTAGTTTTTTCTGCTCTCGGCTGTTGGATTGATTAGTGGAGTATTTCAATTTTGGTTTTCTTTTGGGTGGGGTCGTATTTAGGTTGGAGGTGACAATGCTGCGTTGTTGTTTGAGTTCTAATGTACTATTGAGTTGGTTGAGATGGCGTTTAGTAGCTGTTAGTTCTGCTGTGTTCCTTGTACATTTGAATTTGGCTTTTAAGAGGCTGTACCTTCTCTTTGACTATTGTTAGTTGTCGTTCCACGAGGTTTATACATACATACATACATACATATATATATATATATATATATATATATATATATATATATATATATATATATATATATATATACAAACGACGTATTAATGAAGGGTTATATATCTGACTGATTAAAAATTGACAAAATGAACAGTTTCTGAGGGAAGAAATACTTTTCTGCACCTTCCTCTCCCTCTTTCTCTCTATCTTTCTCTCTCACTCACACGCACACATACAAGCCTATTTATATTTAGACACGCACGTGCCCACTTAAGAAAGCTTGTATAAGTCAAAGTTAATCTCAGTAAATACAACTAATGTGATAGATAAAACACGATGGGCATCGTGTTTCTTTCCGGCTTATTTTCTCTCTCATACCCGAAGCCTCATTTTCTTTCTTTATTAATCTTTATTTAGTCTGGAACGAGGTGAGAGTCTCCATGAAGAAGCAAATATTCCTAAGCGGTCACCTGTTTAAATGGTAATTTCGATATTGCTTAATTTCGGTGACCAGAATAGAACCCTTCGTTTTCAATCCTTGTTTTTTTGAACAAACAGACAAACAGATATGCAAAGACAGACGTACAGACAGACAGACAGTTAGATGGACATACAAAGACAGGCGGACTGACAGACAGATGGACAGAAACGTCACCTGCAGATTTCCCGAACGATTCTTTAGTTGACGTAACGATATAAAATCAAACAAAATCAACCTTCATGAAGAAGCCATCTTTTCTCTTCTCCTTCTCTCCTCCTCTCACAGACGCGCAGACATATACACATACATGTAAATATCCATATGCGTACGTATGTATGTATGTATGTATATATGTGTGTGCACCAGAGTGCGTGTGTGTATATACAGTGATACATCTATACGTGTATGAGACGCCTTCAGCTGTCCTGAATATAGGTTCTCTTATATCTATAATCTATATTTCCTGACAAAGAGACAATCATAGTTATCGATATAGAAAGACACGAGGGTGAAAGAAATTGATGGCGTCGAGGAGGAGCGGGTTAAATTGGGAAGGTCTGGAGAAGTGTTGAAGAATTTGGATGACGCAGTCGAGTGTCAAAGGGTAAACAGTAAAGAGGGGTGACATTGATTGGTGAGAAAACTTATTGGCTGACCAGGTGCAACGCTGGCGGGACAAAAAAAAAATCACACGGTAAAAACAATGGATGAAAACTTGGCGATATAAACTGAATTCGTCCGAGGTTTAAATAATGGAGAAAATATATTATTAAAGCTGAAAGCAATTAACAGAAATAGAATATCTTTGATAGCTTGGGTGATACCATAATTTCTTTCGCCACCAGTGGTCGTGGTTCAAGCTCTATTAAATGTTTGTGATTTCTATTAATAATTCCTATTTTCTACAGGGAAATTTGGCACAACATTATCTTTATAGATCACCATTTGACACCGTGAAAGTTTAAACCAAGCTTATTAAAATCTAAAAGATTAGCCAGAGAAAGAGAAAAAAGCAATTGTTGTAAACTCCTTAGTTCGGTCTTTAATAATAATGGTAAGGGTAATATTAACCGTTTCGTTATAAGGAAACATTTAGCAATCAATCGGTTGAAATTTATAAATTTTAAAACAGTTTTTCAGGAAAATTGGTTTCTCAAGTTAAGCAAAAATTATTGATGTGTGTTTCCTTCCTAACCTTTTGTCTGAATTAGTGTGGAAGCTCGATATCGTGTTGGTGTCACTATTTTCTCTTCGAGTAACATGTGCTATCCATTTTGATTATTGCTGATGTTGCAAGTTCTCAATGTGGTCTATCTTGTTTGGTACAGTTCTTAGTCTGTGATTATGTAGCGCCAGTGCGCGATGTTTAAAGAAGTGTAGTCCTCTCTAATGGCTACAGGCTGCATTCATAGCCCCCTTTAAACATCATTCTAAGAAAATGGCTCTATCAGAAATGACATTCTATTATTATGAGGAAAAAATTGCGAAAATTATAGAAATGTTTTATTTTTTTCATACACGCACACAACATACGCACATACACAAACGCGTGCACATACATACACACACAAATTTCAGTGTGATTTTGTAAGTTTGAACAAGATTAATCGATATACCGGATGGGGGAAAAGTCGAGCACCATAAGGATATTTTATTAAAAGTATAATTACACATGAAAATTTTATTTACTGGTTATTTAATTGCTATATGTGCTGTTCAAAATGTCTTCCTTCTTTTTCAGAACACATTTCATATCTGTACCTGCATGATTCATTAAAATGTCGCAGAGTTTCCTTTTCTCATTTTACGGCATTCATATTTAATTCATTCTTGAAGTTCCTCAATATTCCTTGGGTATGTCTGATAAACAACTGATTTCAAATGGCCCACAGAAAAAAATCCAAGGGGGTCAGGTTTAGTGACCTTGGTGGGCACTCAGCATTACTTCTTCGACCTATCTATTCTCCCCTATGGTTCGCGAATTTTACCTCCCCCTGTACGTGGTTTTGCAGCAAATATGGTCGAATCTAAAGAGGATTAAAATATATTTATGTAACTTCGTTACCGAGTAGTTCAAAAGTTTTTTAGTACAGAAGTTATAGATAATTCTAAAAAAAAAATGTTGTTCTAGAAAGTGCATTCTTCTAAAATCATTGTTTTCTATCAGTGGTTAAACATGATCGATGATGGCAAAGTTAAGTTTATTCCTGTAAAACACATTGAACGGGTTTCAGCGAGGTAAATTCTATGATTGTACGTGTTTGTGTGCGTTTGTGTGTAAAGTAAAGAGAGGATGAGAGAGAGAGAGAGAGAGAGAGAGAGAGTGAGAGAGAGAGAGAGTGAGTGAAAGAGAGGAAGAGAATGTGTGTGTGTATGTTTATTTTTGTCTTGAGAGAGAGAGAATCAAAAGTAACATAGGGAGAGGGTTACTGGCAGAAATTCAAAGAATTGAGAGAATCTTTAGTTGCTCTAAAAATAAATGTGTCTCTGATGATTTTTATGCACAAACCCATGCATTTCTATAGAATTACACACACACCAAAATTAGAAGACGTGCTTCACAGAACAAAAAGTCAACAAGGAACTCACTTGCAAATACTATTCAAGACGAAAACATTTCTTACTCGGCAACTGATTGACTCAACGCAACATCTGTGTAGATTGGCGAGATGAAGAAATTGTTGCATCAGTCTAACAAATATAGAAAGCTTACATATCTAGAAAGGATTCTAACTTTTACGTAAGCTCAAAAACTAACTACTTTCACTGGGGGAAAAATAGACACGTATTTCAATCATGTATCAAGACGCAAACAGTCGGTGATATTAATTGCTTTCACAACAATGCGGACACTTTCACGTGGTGTAATGGTTAACAAGCTGTTTAGCTAAATTCATTTGCGACTGAGTAGTTAGTTCAACCAAAACTGGGCCACACTTACTATCGGCTTTGTGTCAAAAATACGCTACGGATAGTAAATCCCTATATTCAGGAGCAAAAAATACAACAGAAACCGGTTACACTTTAGATCGTAACATTGCATATATATATATATATATATATATATATATATATATATTAGTTTTAAGTTATGCTATATTTATGGGATAAAGTGTTCAATATCAGAGATAGGGTGTATGTAAATATATACCATTAACTTTACTAATCTACTTTTTGTATGAATGATTCATTGTAATATAAATTGAACTGCCCCACATATTTGATTTAAAAGAATTGATCCGACCTGCAAATTTTACTCTATTTATGGAACAATTTAGTTCATGCCACATTGACTGATAAACTCCCACAACAAAAATAAAAATTTTTAAATTACCATATTAGTAAAAAACACACTCTCTTAAATTTTCAAAAAATTCAACCTTAGCGTTGCGACTGCACGCTCCAAAAGTTTTTATCCGTTAACAATAACACATTTCTAAAAAAACATATTTAGATTCCCATTTAATCATTCGTCTGTGCACCAGAGTGCGTGTGTGTATATACAAAATAATTTCCATACCTGAGGATGGCTGTATGTACAGTTGAAAGTACTTGCAGATAAAAAAAAAGACCTTATACAACTTGTAGTTATTAAAAACAAGGATCATAATATTCATCAAGTGGTTCGAATGTTAATGAAACTTTAAAATTTTGTTTGTGAAGAGTTTTCGCCATTTTATATCATTAACTTTACTAATCTACTTTTTGTATGAATGATTCATTGTAATATATATATATATATATATATATATATATATATATATATATATATATATATGTATGTATGTATGTATGTATACGCACAATTTTCATTGAAAAACCAACGAAATATTTTAGGAAACAATAATTAAATAAACAAGTCTTAACACGCAATTTTGACTCATCACCACGAAAACGCGTATTCTATAACGGTCAGTTTATGCTTCGCACCTGAAGATTGCAAGACTGCATGGAACTCCGAGTCAGTCGTGTTATCGGCGTTGGATATTATGTATATTCGCTAATATATATATATATATATATATATATATATATATGGCTGATTCTGCTACTTTGATTGAAACCATTCAACCTTGTTTGAAACTAAGGTAGCGGAATTGGCTGATGTCCTAATTTTAGCTCTGCATGTTACATTTTTATACATCTATTGAGCACTTTTTTAATATTACTGTTTCTTGGTTTAATTCAACTCTGAACATTAGCTATATATATATATATATATATATATATATATATATATATATATATATATATATATATATATATATATGTGTGTGTGTGTGTGTGTGTGTGTGTCTGTGTGTGTGTGTACTCAAGCGAATCAGTCTGGGAGTAATGCATTCTACTTTTGAAACTTTTTGCCAGTAACAAATGTTTTGTGTTTCGTTAATGTTGATGGCAGTCTGTCAAAATATTTTCTGATAAGAAAGTGGGTAAAAAACTGAGCTATGTCACTGAATGCCTACACGAGAGAGAATTACACTGATTGATAATCATCGGAGCTTGTTAAGCGTCTACGCAGATGAGGTGATATATGCAATCACAGTTCGGCAGTGTGTAATTCGTTGTAATAATATGGTGACGCCTATGTGTTTGACAAGCCACATTCCAGGATAATCAGCTGTCGACCTGCGAAAAGAACGACGAAAAGTACATAGCGAATGGTATTGATGTTTTTTTCTTTTTGTTTGCTTTTTTTTCAACTAAAATTTGCATTACTAACTGGTGTTATTTTTGCTCCACTTATGTGTTGAGGTTTCAATAGTAATAAATAGGAGACATTACTTTTGGAGCGACTCGCCTCTCTCTCATATATATATATATATATATATATATATATATATATATATATATATATTATAATAGAAAATATTACATTGCTACACAAAAACTTTCAGTATCTGTCTATATTTCTGAGATGAGGTATTATGTACACTTTTTACATTATTCGGACTAGTGTCTTCATCTTTGTTGCCATATTTATTACAACGTTTTGGCCGTTGTACGCACCGGCCTTCTTCAGGTGGTTGGAATGATAAGGACACATGGCACAGTAGATAAATGCATGGTTAGATCCAGTGACAGGACCCAAAGAGTGTGAGTTCAATCCTCGGTTAATGCAGTGGAGAACTTTCAAGGGGGAATTAACAGGAGATAACTGACATCCATTAAAAAACAAGGTACGTGGAACTACAACAGCCTACGCCAGTGAGCGACATAAAGGGTTCAGTTCGACGGTCCAACCACCTGATGAGGGCCGGAGTGTACAACGGCCGAAACGTTGTAATAAATATGGCGACAAAGATGAAGACAAAAGTCCGAATAATATTAATATTGTACAAAAGCTTTCATGCTTCAAAAATATGAGGGTACTTCAATAATATGACTGCTAGTAACTAGTGATAAAAATGATTTATTTGGACAATTTAAAAAAACAAATCGTTACCTCTTTTCAGAAGTTAAAGGTGGGCATAGATCAGAATTAAAAATATACTTGTGGGTATGTTTAGATTAACCAATTAAAAGTCAGATCTATACTAAAATAGAAAAATAAGGTCAGAGGGTTGAGGTGGGTGGGTTTTTTTCATATCAAGATAAACTGACGCATGGACATGTGATCAAACGATCGTAGGAAACATGACAGCGACAAATGTATTATTGATGTAGCCAAGTATGATGTTCCGATTTGTTGAAGTAGACATAAGTTTATAAATGCTACGAACTGTGGATTTCTACTCTATATTATATATATATATATATATATATATATATATATATATATATATATATATATATATATATATATACAGCCATATTCACGTCGGACTTTTAAACAATATTAATGTTACTTTGGCTATCAAACGTTCGGATTTCTTCGTCTTTCTTTGAATATGACCAAAAGATGTAAGGAAGTAATTGGGGTCATATCACGTAATTTCGTTAAGTTCCTTAAATTTTCATCTGAAAGATAATAACTGTCTTAATAGATATTACCTGTGTCATTCTATTTAATGGAACACATCTAAAGAACTGATTACTATCTAAATATAAAGTTATATCTCTATCTATAAAAGGCAGGATGTGTGTGTGTGTGTGTGTATGTGTGTGTGTGTGTGTGTGTGTGTGTGTGTGTAACGAATGCACGGCCATAATTTACATGCACATACTCCAAGTTAGTGGGAAGGCCAAGACCGACTTCGTATTTCCCAACTCCCATCGATAGTGGAAATAAACGACTTTTTCATGCTTCTACGGTAGTTTTAATGTAGTTTGCGGCCATTTTCTACTGGCCAGAGTGACAGCCTATTGCTGGCTGCCACGAATAGGCAGGAAGATTCTATTGGCCAGTGTGAGAGCCAACAGCTGACTGACACGAATGTTAACTAGCATGCAAAAAAATCGTTAGCTGCATTCGTCACAAGTGGGAAAAATTTAAATCTGCATGGCACTTTATTTCAATTGGCTCATTCGCTTGCTTAAACTCAACGTTGATTCTGATTCCGCAGAACTGGGTTGTGTGTGAAAAAGTATTTGTTGTTAACATTCTTTTTTCATTCGGTTTTTCCAATTACGAGTCCTTTTCTAAAGCTGATCGATTTGTGTTCATTTTGTTTAGTTCTTTTTCGTAATGTTTAGTATAGAAGTAAGGCATGTAGCAACATCAGCACGGCAAAGGGCACTCCTTTAAAGGCAAGGAAGGGCAAAAATATTCTAAGTCAAGTGATAGCGATTGCTATCTTAGTGTCGTAAGATTTTTGAATCAAGCACGGGCAACGCCGGCCCATGCTGCTAGTTGATATTTAAGTTCAAAGGCACTCCCTAATAGTTTCAACGCTGTGATTGGCGTAGATATTTTAATCATTTATCCACATAAAACAAAAACCTTGTATGTTTCTTTACATACATGAGTATAAGGATTAAATACGAACTACTTGTATCCCGTAAATATTCTTTGTTGAAATTGATGTTGTTTGTATTGGGGTTAAAGATATGACCCTACGTGCTAAATGTGATCAAATACGATATATCAGGAAGAGATTTGTGAATGGAGACAACACCATGTCTAACATAGTGTTTAAAAAATAAGGTTTTAAGATGAGAAACAGAAATCGCGTGTGATATAAAGTGGTGGACGTAAAAATAGGAGGATGAGAAAAAGGAGGAAAAGTGGAGAAAGAAGTGGGGGGAAGAGGAAAAGGTAGACAAGGGGGTGGGAATGAAAGAATGATAAAAGGGTAAGTAAAAAAGAAACAGAGAAAAAGAAGTTTTTTGTGTTTTTTTTTTTGGTTTAATTTTTATTTTATGGCTGAACGAGAAAGAGAATGTCAGTGATGAAAATTTCGGTTGTAATGTGCGCCTGGTCTGGTATCAACTTTTCCCCTACCAGCCCAAACTCTGGTTCAATCTTCACACACCCCTCCTAGCGCAAATCCCAGTTTGCGGTGTTGTTGTCAGGTAAATCACACATCGTGAAATTACAAAATATTTATAAACACAACCGGCAATACATATAAATTGCAGGGCGTAGCATGTGGTAGCAATGCAAATGGGTACCAAGTGAGTCAGGGGTGAGAGACATTCTCTTTTACAACTGCTGCTTTCGGGGCTTCGGCCTTAGAATCTACGGAAGCAAATAATGGATAAAACAGTAAAGAAGAGAAATCTATAAGATAGATACGCATATATAAAATGCTATACTGGCCACACAAACACCACAAACTCTCGTACGTTCGCTTGTCTCTTGTCGAAACTGAGTGAAATTCATGCACACATTGACCATAACATGACAGACGCAATACAAAATATTAAATACTGTTTATTAACATTAGACAAATATTCATAGATCATACCTAAATACTATACAACACTCACTGTAAGGAAAAACTCAGAATTTTTTAAGCTATTATTACACAAAACAAATATACCAAATATCTTTCAGTACATGAGACGGTATGTTGAAATATTAATAAAATATTTAGTATGCTTACAATAATAATAATGACAATAATAATAATACGTATAAATATTTGATGCATTTTCTCTGTGCTGTGTAAATGTGTTTTTATCGTTTTATACACGACTATAGATTAATTTGAATTGTAGCCAGCTTTCCCCAAATATGCCAATATGCAGCCAACGCAATCTTGTTAATCATAATGACAACATCCAGTTCTTGATAATGACTGTATCGGTGATAAATTAAATGAAACACACCCTGTCGTTTGAATTTAAGAAAAATATTTATTTATATATATATATATATATATATATATATATATATATATATATATATATATATATATATATATATATATATATATATATATATATATATATATATATATACAGAGAAACACATATATATATATACATATACATATGAAGAAATATAGTTATGAGGTGCGCTATATTTATGGGATAATGTGCTTAATATCAGAGATAGAGCGTATGTAAATATAAAAATGAACATTGAAGTCAATACTCAGAGGCGACTGGCTGTTTCATGCTAGACGCAATCGTCAGACCTGAATGAAATGTGAAGATGTTTGGCTGTTTGCTTTTGTGATACAGTTTTCTAATATTTGTTTTTAATATTAGTTTTAATAATAATTTTTTATCAATTACAATGTGCATAAAAATGCATATGCTGTGATTGGCATAAAAACGAAATTAAAATGACCCGATGTAGTGATTCAGGTGTTTATTATTATTACGGCTCTTAAGAGACAAAACTACATCGAGATGACTGACGTTAGGTTCTGGCACAGAACCACACATTTCTGGAGTATTTGTGGCTATGTGAATATAAAAGACGTATATCTGATTTGAATCCTGTTCATTGATTCCTTGTTTGTATCTTAATCAAGTCGCCGAAATGCATCGCCAACGCACATGCGTATAAAAAGGAACCAATCAGTTCTTCGTATTTCTCTTTGTGACTTTTGTCAACATCCACATCGTGTCCAGATGGACAAATATAGACACTTTCATTCAAGATGGCCAATTGACAGACGGAGGTAAAAACCAACAAATACGCGCCAATATTTGATGTAGAAAGCAAACAGAAAGGCACGCGTCTTAAAGACAATATTAGAGTGAGTAAGATTCATTAAAAATTGGGAATAGGAAACGAAGATCAAACTCCTTTCCAATATCATTTTCTTTTCTTTCTGTCTCTTTCTTTCTTTTTTTTCTTTCTTTCTCTTTTTTCTTTCTTTTTCTTTCTCTCGTTTTCTTTCTTTCCTTCGTTTTCTTTCTTTTTCTTTTTCTCGTTTTCTTTCTCTTTCTTTCTCTTTCTTTCCTTCGTTTTCTTTCTCTTTCTTTCTCTCGTTTTCTTTTTTCTCTTTTTTTCTCTCGTTTTCTTTCTTTCTTTTTCTTTCTCTCGTTTTCTTTCTCTCTCTCGCTTTCTTTCTTTCTCTTTCTTTCTCTCGTTTTCTATCTTTCTTTCTTTCTTTCTTTCTTTCGTTTTCTTTGTTTCTTTTTTTTCTTTTCAGTTTTTCCTCTCTTTTCCAACTCCTTTCCTTCGGACACCCCTTTTAACTCTCTCATATTCATCTTCTCCTTTTCTTTCCCATTTACATATTTGATTTCTTTTTGTTTTCTCTTTAATCATGCTATACACGCATCAATTTATCATTATGTGTAAAACGTTTTTCTCTCCAAAATGTTTTTATCCTGTAGTTGGTTATTCTTTTTTAATTCATTGTAAACCATTTTCTGAAGTTATTCTTCATATCGACGACAATAACTCCGGTATAATGAGTTCGATTCATACTGGATGCACCACAATTTTAGCCTTGTAATTTAACCGCTAAGCAATCTAAACGCCCTTTTTTGTCAGACTAAGCAAAGTTTTCGCTTGTTCGTCACTTTTTTTCATTTATGACTCACCGAATGTTTGCGATCTGTATGGAAATGGCTTTTGTCAGAAAAAAAGATGAGGACGTCTTTATACGTGGGTAGAATTTGTGTTGAATTAAATGATTTCACTTGTCAATGTCGCCATTTGTTCATGCGTGCAGAAGAGAAATAGGTTTCTTTCTGTCCTCAGAAAAAATGGCGAGAAAGTTTTTTTTTTATTAAAATACATAAGAACAAGTTTCATCTGGAACGCAATGAAGCGAATTCCAAATAAAGTGACCAAATATTTTATTATTCCACAAATTATTCGGATTTACATTGAGATCCGAGTCCAAAACTTTTGCAGAATAATTACGCCAATGTCTCATAAGATTTTCGGACTGAAGTTCGGTCTTGGAATTTGTAGACTTAGAACGATAATAAACAATTTTTTAAATCATTTCACCCCCGAGCAAGGCAATAAAGCCACTATGATGCAAGGGGTTACTGAGTGTTAGGCAGTATATAAACAAAAGTAAATACTATTAAGGAGAGAAAATAATAAAAGAACGAGAATTAAGAGAAAAAGATAAATATTAACATTACATTTAAATTTTCAAAGTTGACTAGAAAGCAAGAAGCCGAAAAAAGAGTTCCACAAACGAGAAATACGATAGAAGAAACTGTTAGCATAGAACTTGCGGTCACATCTAGCTATTTCAACGGTAAAATGACGAGATCTTGTCACTAATCTGGTACTACACTTAAATTCATAAACTCTACATTCCGTAGAGGAAAGTTTTATTTTCTATATTATCTTCTTTTACTAATACCAGATTCAAATCCTCCGAAATAAGAAAAAGCCTAATCGGCAATTTCAAAAAACGCTTACAAATTATCGAAGCTATTACAATTAAAAACAAAAGCCAAACATAAACAAAATAGTATTTAATACTGGCACAAACATCTTAAATCTATTTAATAACTAATCCTCCAAATAAACAAATACCAACTCCTTCCAATTGCTTATGATCTAATCCAGAAACAACGCCTGAATACCCAAAATATTATTGGATGGTCCATGTTAGGATCAAGGAAGAATAACACGAACACAAGAGTAGAAACAACGAAGGTACAGTACACGAAATAATAATACAAGATGTGGAAGGTGTTAGTATGACTGTCAGTCTGGTTTGGAGTGAACTACTATTGGCTCGACTCAATTCGTCCCTCTCTCTTGAGAGGCGTAGTATACATAGTGTTAGGAAGAGTTCATTCTGTAGTTATAGGTAAGGACCCATGACAATTATCTATAAAAATAAAAAAGCAAGAGAGTGTTGACAATTTAATTTATTAAAATTTAAAATAAAGATCTAATTGCATTTTGCTCCTTCATGAACAACAAAATTATTTTCTTTTAATCTATTAATTTTCTTATCCAGACCATACATGCACAGACACACACACACACGCACACACACACACACACACACACACATACATACACACACACATACATATATATATATATATATATATATATATATATATATATATATATATATATTACACATTTTACATACACACACGCGCACGCACACACACACACACACACACACATATATTTAATTTCTGGAGACTTAAAGATAGAGGCTTCTCCCCACACATCAAATGAGATATTATCTGTCAATAAAAACTTCAAGCAACATCTGGAAGAGATGCAATCTATGTCTATAGGAAAAAATGTCCTAATAATTAAGTACAAACATATAGGCCAAAAATGTTGAACCAAAAAATGAAATTATTTTCAAATGTCGACATAAAAATAGATTTAAATTAATCTAAAAACATTTACTTTACGGGTAATGCAATTATGAATTGTTTTTTAATTATATATGTGTAAAGTATGTATGTATGCATGCTATTGTATGTATATATGTATGTGTATATATATTTGTATATGCTTGTCGCACATGTATATATGGGACTGTAGTTGTATTATTATTATTATGATTATCATGTAGATGCCAACATAATATGTCTTTCATTATATTTACCAGTATTTATTATTATTATTGATTATTATTTAATTATTTAATATTATTTATATTTTATTTCTTCCATTTAATTTTAATTTTTTGTTTTTTATTTGTTATTACGATTATTATTGTTATTGTTATTATCATATTATTATTAGTTATATATTATATATAAATATATATGTGCATATTTTTAGGTTATATATGTGTGTGCATATGAGTAGAAATATATGTATGTGTGTATGCGTATATATATATATATATATGTTGCATGTGTATATGCATGTTCTTGCTATATATATATTTGTGTGTATGTATATGTATATGTAAATGTGAGTGTTTTTATTTTTATTTTTTATGTTTATAATAATATAAGTATAATTTTGTTATATGTTTATTATATATTTTTATCATCATTATTAATGTGATATTGATTATTTTATGTTAATGATGTTGTGTAAATAGACATTATTTTAATTCCTTCTTCAGTGAATTTTATTTGACACATTATTGTAGCTCTGTTTTAAATTTAACTTACCTATCACTTAACCTTCATTCTCCTCTTTTTTCTCTCCCTTCATAATTTAAGACCCGCAATTTTGCCAGGTTAATTTATTTTTGTTTTATATTTTTTATTCTCTTTTTTATTTCTTAATCTTTGTATATCTATTTGCCGGGGATATCTTCATTCCATTTCATAAAATGTAGTCCCGATGAGATGAATATTCTTATATCCATCGAAATAAATTATTACTGACTATGGATTTTTATTAGTTTTTCTAAGTATTCTTATATATTAGCTTAGAAGAAACGGCTTCGCACAACTTCTACCATTGTCGTCAGGTGCGCTCCTTCTGAGATTATGTTGGCGAGCTGACGGCTTGTATCGCTCCCGATCAACTCGTGTCCATTGATCTCGCGTACGCATGTGTCGCCCCCGTCTCCTGGCTAAAACGGATGGTCTTTTTTACGTTGCTAGCTGTGGCTAGAATGGTGGTGTGGACGGCGCGAAAGGGGGGAATCTTGCGAGATGAACGTTATTCGCATCAAGATCTTGTTGTTTTCTTTAAGCATCAGCTCATGGTAAAAATCAGATCTGATAGAAAACCTTTGATTTCGTCAGATTTAAGCGAAAGGTGGGTGACTGTGGCAAGCCTGGTTCGTGTGGACGGGGCTAGATTTTCTCTTTTAAGTGCCCTTGATACAACGGGGCAGTTTCCTGTGAACCCTCACCTGGTTAAGTTAGACACTGTTATGTTTTCCTAGTTAATGTGAATAAGTCTTGCTCCCGGTTAATTTCCCGGCATTCCCATTTGTCATAGCCCATGTTGACCACCTCACTTTCTTTTTGTCCGCCATTTTGAATTTCGACCGGGTCAGCCTTTGATTTTTCTCATTCCGCCATTTATTTTTTATCCTTCCCCTTACATTAGTGAGTATGCTTCATGATTCTATCAATCGGCAGAATGCAGCAGCCTCTCTTATTATTCTGAGAGGTGGACGGTTCCTACTAACTGATTCGTTTTAGCTTTATCTTGAGTTTACATCTTGAGCTTGTTTTCTGGGTTTATCTCCCCTCCCCCATCATTTCATGAATCATGAAATTTTGAAAATTTTATGCCATGAGGTAATTTTTTTAGGTCCACTGTCGATATGTGGTATTATGGTATATGCAGGATTGAGAGGTGATGGATGAGTTTTTGTGATGAATTGTTATGAATGAATGGGTCGTGAGTCGGATTAACTAGGACCAGGATAGTTAATGAACACTGTCTTTCTCCCTAACTCCCTCCCATTGGCCTTGTGCCACAATTCTGCATCGTTCAGAATAAATACCTTTTGTTTCAATAAAATTATTTCGTTTTATTTTTGTCTTGAAAAGCACAGTTTTCCTATTGTCTTTTTCCACACACACACACACACACACACACACACACACACACACACACACACATATATATATATATATATACATAATATGTATAAAACGGAAAAACGGATGTGCACAGCACAGGAAAAAATGCATCAAATATAAATACGTATTATTATTATTGCTTTATTTTCTTTGATTTCTGGTGTGTACACATTTCCCTCTAATACTAACCCTGACCACGCCCAGAGACCTAATGTCAGAAATAGCTTCGGGATATATTCCACTGAGCAATTAAAAAAAAGAGGGGACTTTGAGGAAAGGAGAAGAGAAACATGATCAAGGCATCAGAATATGTCGATTGACATGACATTTGAATATTTGAAGATTTTAGCTATCATGGGATCAAGTAAGAGGAAGGGAGTTCGCCTATCGGGAAGTGTGACAGAAGAAGATGTTGAAAGAGAAAAGGCGGTTAAATTTAACTGTTTTGACGGTGAAAGGGTAGGCCCGAAATGCCAACCTAATAGCACGCTTAAACTTTTCAAAGTTTTCTCTCACGCAATCAGCGAATCCTATTGTTTTGACATTGGATCGCCTCTCCATTGCTACTTTCACGATATAGTGAATATGGGCATTTGTCACTGACGGAGGAAGATCCTTGTGCCCGATCCCAGCTACAGCCTATTGATTTGACATTGGATAGCCTCTCCATTGCTACTTTCACGATATAGTGAATATGGGCATTAGTCACTGACGGAGGAAGATCCTTGTGCCCGATCCCAGATACATCCTATTGATTTGACATTGGATCGCCTCTCCATTGCTACTTTCACGATATAGTGAATATGGGCATTTATCACTGACGGAGGAAGATCCTTGTGCCCGATCCCAGCT